ACGGAAAACGAGCTAACGATTAACGACTTCGTAAAGGCTCTACGTGCGGTTCTTAGTAATATAAAGAGCCTATAATCCACCGCTATAAAGCCTAGAGTTAGGAGAGGCACGTTTAATACCCTTAGGAACCTCCCCGATACGAAGGATACTGCTAATAATGATAATAATAAGAAGCGCCCTCGTAGTAACACGTCCGTAAAGGCTATCCCTCCCGTAACGAGGAGGCCTTATAAGATATATAAGAATACCTATACTACCGCCGCATATTAGTATATAAGGCCGGATATACGCTCTTATACCTAGTATGGCCGTGAAGATATTATAAAGGTCGCGGAAAAGAAGATACGTATTTATAGTTTTAAAAGCCGCATGGATACCGCGATATAGAAGAGGCGGGAAGTAATAGCTACTACCGCTAATAAGATAGAGGAAGTCTAGGAAGATTAACTCTATAATACTACGCCTACTACTATAGTTTATAAAGACCTGTCCGTCACCGCGACAGGGAGACTAGGAGCCCCCTTAACCTAGGGGGTGGCGCATCGTCGTACGACGATACTATTAAGATTATAATAAGAATAGGGGATATCCCTTTCTATTAACTAAGCCAGAGCGCTATTACACTACGCAATCCTAGACTTAGGATCGTTAATCTATATCTTTAATAATTAAGACCGTTTTACGGCCGTTAGACTAGCCACGGTTAATTTATTAACGCTTTAGGTGGGTACTTATAAGGCTCCTATCCTCGGATACGGATATATTAAGCTGCGTGTATAATCCCTAGCGGGCACGAAGAGGCTACTACGCCTTTATAATGTTATATACTATAAGGAATTCGTTACTAATATCGTCTTAGAATGCTAGCTACGCCTATAAGGCTACCGCTAGGATACCGTAAACGATATTATTATTAGCTCCGCTAATAACCGGCCTATCTATAAGCTACTAAATATCCACGGCTAGTATATAATCGAGCGCGCAGAAGCCACGGCCGCTACCGTATTCGCGGTCTCGGTAAGGTATCCCCGCGATAACCCGTATAGAAGATTATGATAACCGCAGTAACCGTAGAAGACTACGGTATAACGGTAGCACGAACGCCTTAGCTACTACGGCACCGATACTCTCGTAAAGATCGTTAATACTACTTAGGGGGTAAAGATAAAGGGACCTTATATAACGGACTATAACGCGTGTGGGTAATCGTAAATACCTACATCGATCTGGCAGATACTATCCCTTTACCCGTTAAAGCCCGTAGAGGCCCTGGCTATTAATCTTTATAATCTAGAAAAGACGGAGCCGTTAGCAGGCGGCCTGTATAAGTCTATTATATTCGTTATAGACGTGTACACAGGTTATACATAGGATTACTACCTATAGAAGAGAGACTAAGGCTTTATCCTGCATGCATTAAAAGACGTTTTTACCTTACTTAAGACCTAATTTAACGTCCGGCTATATATCCTACGAGCCGATTCCGAGATATTTTAGCACCTAGAGGTTATTACTTTCCTCGCTGCTAAGGGAGTAGAAGGCTAGCCGTCGGTATTATATTTATAGAATTAAAACGGCGTTATAAAATGGATTAGAGGTATAGTTAAGAGAAGGGCGAGGGCTATAAGGATTAGAGCTAATCTGCCTATATCTATCTAGTCTAAGATCTTTAAGACTACTATATATCTATATAATAGGACGTCACGATATATTAACGACTAGCGAACGCTATATAAAGGCCTATGCGGCCGTTAACCTAACCTTATATACCTATAAGCTTACGGCTATAAAGCCTTTATAAAAATGCGTAATGCCTAAGCTAAAAGGAACCGCCTATAAAGGCTAGAACCGAAGGTATAGATCGGTTATCACGTCGGATACTAATCCTCGAATAGCTTCCGTATTTAGCTACTATACCTAATAGATATTATCACTACGAGAGATATAGTCTTTAACGAAGATAAGATATTTAACGGCAGGATTAAAACGCTATAAGCTATAGCTTCCGCCGAGGAAATCAGGGAACGCCTATAATCTATCCGTATTATCTAATCTAATAAGACCGCGAATAGGCTACTATTAAGGGGTATAGCCGTAGACATATTAGATCTTAAGTTGGAAGACTCTAACGCTACCGTTATTATTACGGGTAAAGGCGACGCTACCGCTATTACTACGGATAAAGGCGAGGCTATCACTATTACTACGAGAGAGGCTACCGCTATTACTACGGACACTTTACGGTTTACCACTACGAGGTTTAAACCGTTTCCCACGCCTTTAATATCCCCGGAAGATCCCGCACGCGCGTTCCTTATAGCGTTAGCGGTGGTTAGGGGAATTAAGGTGGAAGAATACGATAACCACTAACGGATAGCCGCGGATACCCTTAGGGGGTGCCTGTCGGCCGTACGCCTATCGGCCACACGCCTATCTATTGCGAGAACTATTTTAAGTCTATATATAACCGAGAAGGTCTAGAACGATAACGCCTAAAAGGCGTTCTTTAATGCTAGCAGGACTTATAACCCTATACGCGTGAGGAAGTAAGCTATTAACGATAGCGATATTAGTGCTATAGATCCCCCTTATATCTCCTAGCCACTATCGCACGTGACCCGCGAGGATCTCCCGCCTTTACTAAACTACTACCGCGATATACGCCTTTACCCGTTACGGGAGCAGTGGTTATAGGCCGAGGGGGAACACCTTAAGGGGCACCGATAGATAGGCTGCTAATAGGAGGTAAGTAGTGATTAGGCTGATAAGTAATAAGTCCTCGCCTATAGATAGGTATACACCTATACATTTAATAAGGAGGGCACCCTCCTTAAGTATAAGGCACGCCTTATAGTCCGAGGGAATTAATAAAAACGGTTAGAGACTAAAGATAACTACGCTGTAACGCTAGCCTCGCGGTCCTTCTGTATACTAATAGCGATCGCTACCCGATTTAACCTAGAGATAAGGCAGTTCGACGCTATTAACGCGTTCGTTAACGCTAGCCTTAAGGAAAAGGTGTTTATAAAGATGCCGTAAGGCTACGAAGTACTAGGTAAGGTCCTGCTACTACAGAAAGCCCTCTTCGGCTTAAGGGTATCGCTACTACTATAGTAAGAAAAATTTAGCGGCACTCTATAGAGGATAGGATTCACGGCTATACCTAATAACCCCTATATTATACTCCGCGACGGTTTAATCCTATTCTTCTATATCAACGATATCGGACTTATCTACTATAGAGATCGTAAGACTAATACCGATAACCTCGAGGCCGTCCTTAAGCGAAGCTATAGGTTATTGGGAGGCGAGGAAATCTGCTAGTTCCTAGGAATTAAGGTCCTAAGGGATAGAGCTACCCGTAGATTATAGCTATTATAATCCTCCTATATAGAGAAAATCGCGGTTAAATACTACGCAGATATACTCTGCCGAAAACCACTAAAGGTCCTATTATTAACGATAAAGCCGTTAATGCCCCGCGACGGTATACGCGCGTCGATTCCCGAGGTCCGCTAGTACTAGGGTATAATCGGTTCTATCCTGTATACCGTTATCGTGATAAGACCCGATATCGTGTTCGCCTATTCGAAGCTTTCCTAATATAACGTTAACCCCTCCTCCGACCACTTTAAGAGGGCTTAATAAATACTGCTATTCCTATATTATACAAGACACTACTACCTAGAATTCGGCGGGGATAGGCTCTTCCTAGTAGTAAGCGACGCGTCCTTTAGGGATAACCTAGACCGTAAGAGTTTATAGGGATATATAATAAAGCTTTTTGGGGGAACCGTTAACCAAAAGGCGGGTAAGTAACTAATAGTGACGACGTCGTTAATAGAGTCGGAACTGCTCGCTCTTACCGAAGTAGCTAAGGAGACGCTATTCGTTAGCCGGATATTAAGGGATTTAGAGCTTTAGTTAGACTAATAGTAACTATAACTATACTACGATAATTAATAGACTATTAACCTCGTTAATAAGAAGGCATAACGTCTACGAATAAGGCTACGGCACGTCGATATTTATAACTAGTAGGCACGTTAGTTAGTATAGCAGGGCTTCTTTAAGGTTACGTACGTTAACACGAAGGAGATAATCGCAGACGGTTTAATAAAGGTATTACCGGAGGCAGGGATTAAAAGACTATAGTAATAGCTTAATTTAACGGATTAAAAGGATCGTATTAAGTGGTCTAAACGACTACACGAAGAGATTAAACGTGCTAAAGCCACGACCGTAGCGACTACGAAGGCCCCTAAAGGCATAGCAGATCCGATAGATATAGATCCGATTAAGTAGATCCGGCTAATCAGAATCGAGGAACTAATTAAGATAGAATTAAATTAAACGGTTAAATAGGGCGGATTTAGATCCCTTTTACGAGGGCGTTTTCCCTTAACTATTAATTTTACGATGGAAAAGTTAAGAGCGTTTAGTTTAAACCGAAGCCTCTGATTAGTTAGTTAACCTAAGAAGACCCACCCTAACTAAGGGGGTGTATCGTATAGGTATACGGACCACGACATGGTCTATAGGGGATCCAGGGGGGATCCACGCTATAACTAAGGGCTTCGGATATAATAGGGGCGGATACCGGAAAAGACCGGATAGGATCCAAATGACTTAGTACCCATAACAGTCTTCACCACCTAAATTAAGGGCATAAGAGACTCTCCCAGATATAACTTAACATAATACACACACACGAGATTTCTGCTCTACTAAGTTAATCATTCAAGTGCCTATTTTGACGTGCGACAAGAGCACCATACCGTGGCTCATATGATAGAATGTGACATGGAACGTGGGGTGCGCACAGTCTTAAATAAAAATACATACGGTATACAAGCACTACGTTTCTCTCAGGTGCCAGCAATGTCATGTGACCACCCCTCCATCTTTTCTGGGCCCCTTCAACGCGAGGGGCACTCGACGCGTCTCAGAAACTATCACCACGCGTCTCTCTTAGCATCATGGCAATACCACAGAGCAAGATGGCTCCCAACGGCCACCCAGGTCCTTTGGTCGGTCAAAGAAGACATGAAGAGTACCAGTATCTCGACCTTGTACGGGAGATCATAGAAACGGGCGAGCACCGACCTGACAGGTACTTTGTTTTCTCCTAGTCTTCCCTTCCCTTTGTCCTTTTTTTTTTTTTTTTTTTTTTTTTTTTTTTTTTTTTAAAAAAAAAAAAAATTCTTCCGTGCTAACTCGGCCCCCGCAGAACAGGTACGGGGACATATTCCATCTTCGCGCCGAGACCACTTAAATTCAGCCTCCATAAAGATGGCGCAACACCCATCCTCCCCCTCCTCACGACGAAACGCGTCTTCCTCAAGGCAGTGACGGCCGAGCTCCTCTGGTTCATCGAGGGCAACACGTCATCCCTAGCGCTGAGCGACAAGGGCGTCAAGATCTGGGACGGCAACGGGTCGCGCGAGTACCTCGACAGCATCGGCCTGACGGACCGCGCCGAAGGGGACCTGGGTCCCGTGTACGGGTTCCAGTGGCGGCACTTCGGCGCCGAGTACGTTGACGCCGCCACCGACTACACGGGCCGGGGCGTCGACCAGCTGGCCGAGGTGGTCCACAAGCTGCGCACGAACCCGTACGACCGCCGCATCATCCTCTCCGCCTGGAACCCGGGCGACCTGCGCAAGATGGCCCTGCCGCCGTGCCATATGTTCGCGCAGTTTTACGTGTCGTACCCCGGGGCCCGCAGGAGGGCGCCCAGGGACGGAGAGGACGGAGAGGACGGCGACGATGCCAACGCAAGGGACAAGGACAAGGACAAGGAAAAGGACAAGGGCAACGGACGGGGCAAGGGACACTTGCACTGCCAGCTGTACCAGCGGTCCTGCGATATGGGCCTCGGCGTACCGTTTAATATTGCCAGCTATGCGCTGCTCACGCATATGCTGGCGCACGTTTGCGATCTGGTCCCTGGGAGCTTGACGCATGTCATGGGAGATGCGCACGTTTATTGTGACCACGTGGACGCGCTGCGGGTCCAGCTAGAGCGCGAGCCCCGCGCCTTCCCGAAGTTGGAGATTACAAGAGAGAAGGGCGGCAGTATCGACGGATGGAAGTTAGAGGACTTTGTCGTGAAGGGATACGATCCGCATAAGACGATTGCGATGAAGATGTCTGTTTAAACGAATAATGTGTGGCTGCACGGATACAAGGCCTTTGGGGGGCATCACATTTACCATGGAAGCGCTGATTCCGGGATGGGTTTTGACGCTGAGATCATACACACTGGGGGGTATATAGAGGCAGGACGCTTCTCTTCTCGTCCTATTGCGTCTGGCGTACGACTTGGGGGATAAGCTGGATTATAACAAGCCTGTTGACCATGGCAAGGGTCTGACAGAGGGCGAAAGGGCGCACGGGACCCAGGAGATGCGAAAATACAAAATCTCATTACATTTGCCTCATACAAAGAGTGACTTTGTACACACTTACACGGCCGTAACTTGACCAGCACGTCCGGACGATTGGGCAATGAGACAGATGTGATTACTAAACGCACAATTGAGGTCACCGCACGGACCATGTCTTTATCCATATCGTGCCCCCACATTCGAGTACGTATCTTCGGATAAGCAATTCAAAGGAAGAGACTTTCTAGAAGCCCAAGAAAAAAAGAAGAGGACAAAAAAAAAAAGAAGGGAAACACCAAAGTTCGTCGACATCTTCGACACCACCACACTAAATCACCATGGACATCTTGAAAGTACTCTCGCGAGGTATTAAACAACCTTCAAAAACCACTAAGAATGTCGCAAATGGCAAAGCCAACCTTCCCTCGGCCGGCAACAAAATCAATCCCCAGCTGTTCCACGACAATGTGAGCACGTCGAGGGGCAGCAAGCGGAAACGACCCGACGATGCTGAAGGCGACAACGCCGACGCCGATGCTGACCTACCCGAGGTCGACTTCTTTGCCCCCAACTCGACTCCGTCCGAGGAAACGAAGAATGGTGAGGCCGCTGCCTCATCTCAACACGTCGAGGCAGCAACGACCGTCTCGTCCTCCTCTGCCACTCCTCCGACCCTCCTCAGCGAGGAGGAATGCCGACAGCTCCTGCGATCTCACCGCCTGAAGCTCACCCTCCTCTCCAACCGACACGTGAAATCCAAGTCCAAAATTACCAAGACCAAAAAGAACAAGAAGGCCAAGGTGGAGGTGGGGGTCGAGGTCAAGGACGATCCTGTGCAGTTCTACCCCCAACCCTTGAGCAGCTTTCGCGAGCTCCGCAGCGTCTACAACATCCCCTCCAAGTTGGCCGAGAACATTCAACACGAGGGTTACAAGATGCCCACCGAAGTACAGCTGGGAAGCCTGCCGCTGCTGCTACGTCCCGAGCTGGCCTTGGAGAATGTGCCCAACAGCGAAGAGATGGGTGACGTCTCTGCTGGAATCGATTTCCTCGCTATTGCGCCCACGGGTAGTGGCAAGACCATTAGCTTTCTCGTGCCGGCTATCGACAGCATACTAAGGCGGAGAGCGGCGGCGGCGGAGGAGGAGGAGGAGGAGGAGGGGGAGGAGGAGGGGGATGAAGCCAAGGAGGGGCACCAGTTGCGGGCCATTGTGATGGCGCCGACGAGGGAACTCGTCTTCCAGATCGTCAATGAGGGAAGGAAACTGGCCTTGGGCACGGGTATCAAGATCTCTGGCATGAGGAAAGGCGTCAAATTGCCCACCGAAGAACAAGAGAAGGAGCACACGACAGAGTCGGACGAAAGTGAAGAGGACGAAGAAGAGGCGGAGGAGTCTTCGGATGATGAAGACGGTAAGCCCGGAGACAAGGCGTCGAGACCCGTCACCAGAGCGGATATCCTTGTCACCACGCCTGCGATGCTGTATGGCCATCTCACCTCGGGATCTTCATCTTCGAAAACCCGAAAGATCCTACCAACTGTACACTCTCTCATCCTCGACGAGGCAGACGTTCTCCTAGACCCAATATTCCGCGAGCAGACCCTCGGCGTCTGGTCAGCCTGCACGAACCCCAACCTGCGGGCCTCCTTTTGGTCGGCCACCATGTCCTCCACCATCGAGAGTCTCCTCAAGGAAACGCTGGCCTCAAGGTCGGCGTCCACGTCGACCCGGATCCCCCTGGTCCGCCTCGTCGTCGGCCTCAAGGACACCGCCGTACCCAACATCACCCACAAGCTGACCTACACGGCTTCGGAGCAAGGCAAGCTGCTAGCCCTGCGCCAGCTCCTCCGCCCCACCACTGCCGACGACTCGGGCCCTCCTCTCCGCCCCCCCTTCCTCGTCTTCACCCAGACCATCGACCGCGCCTCCGCCCTGCACGAGGAACTCAAATACGACATCCCCCTCGCCGCCGGCGGCCCCACCCGCATCGCCGCCCTGCACAGCGGCCTCTCCGACGCCGAACGCGCCGGCATCATGCGCCGCTTCCGCGCCGGCGACATCTGGGTCCTGATCACCACCGACGTGCTCGCCCGCGGCGTCGACTTCGCCGGCGTCAACGGCATAGTCAACTACGACATCCCCGGCTCCACCGCCGCCTACGTCCACCGCGCCGGCCGCACCGGTCGCGCCGGCCGCGAGGGCGGGCTCGCCGTCACCTTCTACACCAAGGACGACATCCCCTTCGTCAAGACCGTCGCCAACGTCATCGCCCTCAGCGAGCGCCAGGCCGGCAAGAAGGGCGACGACGCCGCCGTCCAGAAGTGGCTCCTCGACGCCCTCCCCGACGTCAACAAGGACGACCGCAAGCGCCTCAGGGAGCGCGGCGTCGAGTCCCGCCGCTCCGGCGGCGCCCATGCCAAGGTCACATCGCAGAGCGGCTGGGAGCGCCAGAAGGAGAATAACCGCAAGGGCGCCGTCGAGGCGAGCAAGAAGCGGAAGAAGCAGGAGCGGCAAGACCGCAGAGAGGCCAAGGGTGTTGTTGTCAGTGGAGGAGGGCGTGCCGGTAGTGATTCAGAATGGGGCGGGTTTGACTGATTGATTGAGCGAAAACTATTTCCATTTTATTCGTGCGTTTGTCTATACGAGTTAGATACTACTGACTGCTCAACACCATCGACAAGTGCTTCTTCTCAGTTGGTGGCCTCCCAAGTTAGGCCTAGACAGGGTAATCAATTGACAACGATATAATACCGATCTGATTCTTCAGGATACAGGAGCTCTCGCCGCAACTCCCATGACGCCCCTTCAAGCCTCAGGGAGAGAGACGCGGCTTTCACATGCCAGTGTCTGCCTGCCATCTTTTCCCGTCTGCTTGCTCGGTTTTGTATTCCGAGATGCTACGAGAAAAAAAGAGCCACCCCAAACACAACTGCGGCGATGCGAATGACATCTCCCACATCTCGTCTGTGGGCCCCAAGTCGCAAACTGCCGCCTAATATCCCCCGCCAAGCAGTCCTACATCCCCTTCCCCCCCTCGCATGGCGCCAGTGTGCCCTGGCTGACCAAAGTGGGTAGCCCGAATCTCATCCATCAAGTGTGATATGGATGACCAGAAGCCCCACAAGCCCAGGAGGACGTTTCGGTCTAACGTTGAAGGGCTGTATGACGAGAGGAGTTTTGTGCTTTTATATTACCAAGGCGACAAGGTCGAGACCGAAAGCAGCCGCAGTCAACCCATGCCGTCTCATTCTGTCTGCAAAGCGTAGTAAATAAAGTAGAATACCACACATGCCATAGGGAGGTCGGAACTGCTGAAAAAAAACTTCGTCAAAAGTTCTTTGATGGTATTCGCATGATTACAAGTCGTAAGTAACGTGGAACAACAACGACGACAACAACGACAAAGAAAAAAAGAAACATGAAAAAAAATAGAGGAGAGAAAAGAGGAGTCATCGGGTCATGATGAGCCCAGCCAGCACTCTATGCGCCTGCTTGGACCGAGACTCAGCTGCGATGCGTACATCGCCCGCATAAGGGTTGATAGCACTCATGATCATATCAGGGATCTCGGAAGGGAACAAGGCGAGAAAGCCGGGGGTTTCCAGAGTCCTCTCTACCTCTCTTCGCCGCCTCTCGCCCTGCCGCGTCTCCGGAAGAAGTCCATAACACGCTTCGCTGCGCCGCTGCTGCCCTCGTGGCCGTTGTGATAGTCGTCTTGCTCGTAGGCGTCCGTAAACCTCTTGTTCTTTTGTAGCGTCCCGCGTTGTCCCTTGGCACCAATCCTCCGTCCATCGTAGCCGTCCGACTCCGAGAAGCCTCCGGCCTGGTAAGGGATGTTGCCCTGGCGGCCATGTCGAGGGTTCTCCAGCGACGACTCGGATCCCGTGTTCAGCACGGCGCCTTGTTGCATGTGCGATGGGATGGCGGTGGGTGGCTTGTTCATGTGCGACGAGCCCTGCCGTTGTTGCAGCGCCGGTGCCGAGTTGGAGGGAGGCCGGTTGGGCTGGTAGCCCGGCGTATCGAGGTCGCCACCATCATAGTAGGCCGTCTGGCCCATGGACTGAGAAGCTCCATCGAAGTAGCGCCCTCGTTCATCCAGTTCCGGGGGGTCTTGGATGGGCAAGTTCTGTTGAGAAGGCGTGTCTGGATGTGGCACTTCCGAGTCTTTACCGAAGCCCATGGCTCGTGATAAAGACGGGGGTAGGAGCGAGAATCTCCGGGTCTGCTTCTCCTGAGAGGCGTGAGAAGGAGTGATACTACCACTCCGCTTCTTATTGAAGCCGATGGAGAAGGAACGCCGGGAGGCTCTCGAATCTATCGACTGTCGTGACTCTCCACCTCCCTGCAGGGACATACTGACCGGGGGATACTTCCTCGATCTATCCTCACCCGGCATCTCCGATCGCCTTTTGCTCTTGCCGCTAAACATGGATGCGTTGCGCCCGAGAAGCTTGGATCCAAGGTCCGTGAGCGTGCTCGAGCGCCGATGACCCCTACCCTCGACCGGTGGTGATGGCCGATAACCGCCACCGCCCTGTTGGCCAGGTTGGTATCCGGCAACCCTGGCGAACTTGGGCGGCATAGGGTTGGCGCTGACGCTGGGATGACCCATGGTGTCGTTTGGCTGCTGAATACTGCCGTGGGCGTTGGTACCCGCGACAGAAGGGGGGATTGGCTGGCCATAGGAGGGCCGGCTTCCACCTCCTAGGCCCATGGACCCAACTGAACCCATCGAGCCTCCAGTCTGCGGCCGCGGTCCTGTTTGGCCCGCGCCACTCGACATATAAACGTTGTCGGATGTAGAGCGAGTGCCTGGACGCCCGGGGGCGCCCGCGTTTCGGTACGAACTCGGTGGGCGTGTATTCTGACGGGCAGTCTTCGAGTATGTTTCCTTCGACACGGGAGGATCCTTGGGTAAGGGCTTGTCCTTGGGGCTTTCGACCTCGACGGGACCCTGGCTGTTCGAACGAGCCCTCGACTTACCGCGTCCAGGGGATTGCGTGGTCGGCGTGGTTGCCGTGGCGATGAGGCCATCTCCCCTTTGCGTTTGCGTCGTGGGGGCCACGTACTCAACCTGAACAGTGCGGCGCTTCGAGTCCTTCCGGGCGGCAGCTTCAGCCTCTGGATCGACCGTCCCTTGTTTGGAAGCCAAACCGCCGACGACGGCGGTGGGACTGACTGCCTTCGTTCTGGAGGCCTCACGGACCGAAGCACTACGCGCGACCATTGGCCTCTCGTCTTCGGCGGGCACGGTGGTGTTTTGAATCTCGGTGGGGGTCGTGGTGCTGCTGGTGATGAACTCGACAACGTGGGCATATTCGCTGAGCCAGCTATGCCGGGCGACCTCAAACAGGTCGGCCCTTTTCCTGGGATTCGGAACAAGAATCCGTCTGAGGAGGTCGCGGGAGTGCGGAGTGACGTATTCAGGGAATGTGAGAGGGGTGTTGACGATGTATTTATAGAGAAGATTGATGTTGTCACCCTCTGGGTTCGCGGGATCATCATCGAAGGGCAAGTAGCCAGCAAGCATCGCATACTGAATCAATTTCCGTCAGCGCCTGGAGGACACGGTTGCAAAGGGGTGAACGCTTGGCAGCGTCCCTTAGAGTGAGAAGGAAGAAAGAAAAGACAAGGGAAAAAGGAATGGAACTTACCAGGATGACGCCGCAACTCCAGACGTCCACTTTCCGACCTGTGTAAAGGGAGTCGCTAACAACCAACTCAGGGGCGGCATAACAGGGGCTACCACAGCTCGTCTGCATCAAGTCGCCTTTCCTAGTCCCGTTCCGCTTGAGCTTATCGAGACCCATACGTTTCACAAATTCGCGATCGGTCAAATTCAGCTCTTCTTCCTGGCTGAGTTCCTCGTCGGCGTCAAAAGTGTTGGCGAAGCCAAAGTCGGTGATGATGATGTTGCGGTTTCGGTCCAGAAGGAGATTCTCGAGCTTGAGGTCGCGATGAACGATGCCTTTCTTATGGAGATATCCGACACCGGAGACGAGCTGAGCGAAAAGCCGGCGAGCGGCATTATCCTTAAGGTACCGATGGGTCAAAATGTAATCGAACAACTCGCCGCCCGAGGCATACTCGAGAATGATTCCTATATGCCTCTCGGTTTCCACCATTTCGTGCAATCGAACGATATTCGGATGCTGGATACCACGAAGGATGGCAATCTCGCGATAAATCTTGGCCAGCCGACTCGGGTTACTCCCGACGGTGTCTCGTTTGATCAGCTTGATCGCGACCTACATTCAAGTAACACATGTCAGCCACCTCTCGGTACGCAAGGCAATTCACTGAAGTCACACGTGATGACGAAAAGAAGATTTACCTGGATGTCGCTATCTTGTTTCCAGCCGAGCTTGACCTTTCCAAACTCGCCCTCGCCGATAGTATTCCCGAGATGGTAGTCGCCAAACTTGACTACCTTGTCTCTTCTGCCGGCGTGGTGTCTAGCACCTCGGCGGTTGTCGTCACGTTCCGACAGAGGGACGACAGGCGGGGGTGCCGCCTCATCGAGCGATGCTCGCGGTTGGGCCTCCGTCATTCGCTCCCTCTCACGCTGGATGTCGATTTCGGGTTGAGAAACGACGAGTTTGGTTAGGACCTCGCTGGCTTCGCGTGAGGGCTGCCGTGGTGACGACGACGCCACGTGGGATGCCGCATCGTGCGATCGAATAGGAAGGCCCATCTCGCCTCCGCCCCGGCCATCGCGAGGGCTGCTTGTTCCATGCGGAGAACCCTGGGTCATGGGGGCGTGCTGATGAGATCTTCGGCTTCGCGACGCGGAGGCTTCCGTGTAGGCTGCATTGCTGCCATTCATGTCTGGCCGTAATGTTTCGTGGTCTCCGCGACGAGGCGAGGCCGTGGAGGGTTCGCCTGTGTATTCGCGTCTCTTCGAGACGGAGGTGCCGCTGGATGTGTTGTAGTTGTTGGACGAGGTCCTAGGTGGCGCCACGGGTGGCATGATGTTGTTCAGTCGATCCGGAGACGACGGCACGTCTGATCTCGAGGCGATTGGAACGGGGCTTGTGACGGCGGTACGGGACGTCATTAGAAAGCGGCCGATGCCGATACTTAGACGGTTGGTAGGCCGGACACTGCCGCTCCGCGGTAGCGAGGAGCTAGATCGAGTCCAAAGTCAGGCAGATATGGTTCTGGGATAGGCATGGTACGCCTTCGCTCGTCGAAGATGGAAAGGGAACGGGGGAATGCGATGTTCGGCGTCTGCTTATCGAAGACGCGGCAAACCGCGGCGGCACGGCAAGGGCTGACAAGGCAACCGACGAGCAAACGACCGCGTACTTCGCAGCACCTTAGAACTAATCCTAAGCTCTTATTAAGGATCAAGGTTGAAGGTGAACTTGAAGCCAAGATGTCGAGTGGCCCGGTTCGACAACACGGATCTCGTGTGCTCAGAGTTTCCCACTATAGCCGTCGCTACAGCTATGTGGAGGTCAGACAGGTATTGGGCAAAACTGCTTGCTGAAGATGTAGTTGCTTTCAGCAGGAGAGGACCGGGCAAGAGCAATGAAAGCGGCTCTGTGAAATTAGAGACGGTGGTGAGGGCAAACGCCCGAGTCGCGATTTTTTGGGGAAATAGAAGAACGAGCTGGAGTGGCCTTCTGTTGCTGTTTATTGACAAGAAACGCGGTGGGTGAATGAGCACATGCAAGCTCAGGGATAAGCTAGGGTTCGCCCTGGGGGGCGAGGTTGACAAACAGGTTGAGCGTTTCTCGGTCTTGCCAAGGAACGTTACAAAAAACGACCAGGTCGAGAGATTGACAATTGAAGTGGCAGTGATCTGCCAATTATTGCCATGAAGAGCGTTACGTAGAGCTGTTGCTGTGCCGAGCAGACGCGATTCGATTGGGGGGCGTCTTGTTGTCTTATCGCGGGAAGGTCTCCAATGCTGGCCCAGCAGTATTTTAGTGTCAGCAATCGCTGCAGCAACACTAAAACCAATGTCGGCTAAACTGTCACAGTAGAGGCCGCTTTCGGTGCAGACGGAACTGGACTTGTTGGACAAGAGACTTTTTTCCCCCTGAATGTGCAGGCGGTGCCGATGGGATGCGAGCGTCGCGGTATGTCAACAAGTCGATAGCTGCAACGCAAGTATCATGGGCTGGGGTCGTGGGAACTCGTCGCTGCTGGAAGGCAAAAGGTTAGGGACGACAGAGGAACAAGAATTGTCCGGCGAAAGGGAAAAGGAATAGGAATAATAATAATAAAACGGAAGAAAAAAAAACCAGAGTAGGGTGGGTGACATCGCAAAAGAAATGACAGGAATACCACGAGCTGCAGCTCGGCGCAGGCGTGGGTCCAAGCACAGACATGTACAGGTGCATGCATTAGGTAAAATAAGTCGAGACAAGACAAGGACCGGCGACACGAAGCAACGAAGAAAAGAAAGGGGAAACACGAATATGCCCCAAAACTTGCTTCAAAAGACATTCATGAAAGGGGAGAAGGGTAATTCGTTAACGTACCTGGAGCAAGAAACGTAGGGAACCGCAAGCTCTGCAGGAGGTGAGGGCTTGAGGAGGAGGAACAGTAAGTCTGGTCTAGACGAGTCCCTACCGTTGGGTGTTGGGATTGAAAGAGGACAATATGGTCATTTCCTTCTCTTTCTCTTATTCACTTTCCTTTCGCTCTTTGTCGAACTTGGTCAATCGCTTCGCTCCGTGTCGGGGACTGCGTGTTTTCAGGATGTCTCCGATAGCCTTTGTTTTTCCCTGTCCGAGCTTGTTCTCGTTTTCCCCTTTTTTCACGGTTGAGCCGCTGGGTCGGTCGTTGGGAAAGCAGACAGACGGGGCAATGGTTCTCTGACAAGAATTCGCAGGGTTCAGTCACTGGCCCAAATTCGGAGGCGACGGTCGTGAGAAAAGGTCGAAAGTAAGTGTCGACGCAAGTCGCGTTGACAGGATGTTCGAGATCGATCGAGGGTTCTCGCGGTGGTGGCTCCTGAAAGTATAGGTACACAAGGTGCACCAAACATAGGAGCTAAAGTAAGACCTACGTATTCCTTGGTCTGACGAGAAGTACTTCGTAAGGCGTCGAAAGAATGCCAGATCAATTTGATCTATCACTATCAGACTCACGGAGAGACGTGGACGGGGAGTTGGAAGGTTTGGAAGAAGCCTGAGATGACGAGGTGAAAGGGAAATTGGACCGAACCTTGGGAGGGATCAGACGGGGGAGAAGAAAGGACAGGCTGGGAAATGACGAGACAGACTGGTGGATGTACGGTACGAAGCGCGAAGTACGAAGTACATAAGGTACAGTTGCGACTTGGGGGTTACATTTGTACCGCATCCAGTAAAGTACCTTCACACTCATGTACTTCCGTGCTGCGACGAATTTGCGGACAGTTTCATACCCAGCAGGTTCAAGTACTCATAAATCCGAGAAGCACAGTCCATGATAAGGTACCTACTAATTGTACCTACTGCCCGGGTCTGGCCTTGAGGTTCCTTCTTCCACATTTCCTTACATGGCGCTGACACTCCCGGGCGCAACCCCCCAAAAGAGGATTTTGATTTGAACTTCTTCGCGCACCTCGTCGAATACACACGACGAAGTACCTTATGTACGAGTACCTACCACCAAAGTTCAGTTGCATACCGACTCCACTAAAGGTAATTGGCGTTTTAGACTTAACCACAGCACTCGACCGCGCCCTCCTTGTCTGACGCGTTTCCGTTCACGTACCTAGCCCAACGTACAGGGAAATTGGGCGAGATGAGACTCTGGGATGAGCCACTTGCAACGCGCTGTCCCTGCTCACCCCTCTCGCCCGCCCTGTCGCTCGTCCATCATGGGTCACAACCGGGCACGGACGAGTAGGTAAGGTACAGACGTGTGATGTATTCGGGTACCTGCTGCCCTAGCGTCCGCATACAGATTAAAAGGTAAAATGAATGCGAGATTCTAGGGTCCACGGTACACACATGATCCAAGTCCATCATGTACCTTACATTGCGGGACCAGAGGCCGAACGAGGATAAATTGAATTCCCCTCTCCCAGTCGCCTACCTAGGTACCTACAACGTACCTACGTGTACATACATTGTACCTTAATTACTTGCCATGATGATAAAAGTCCGGAGTACGGATACGTAAGGTATACATGCGTATAAATCGGGTTGTTCTAATTTTAAGCTCACGAAATTATTCCCCCACCACTTTCCCACTGGGATCGACGTGCCCGTCCATGACGAAGGCGTCGCAATGCGCCGTTCATCCTACCAGTGGTTTCGATAAGACCTTCGCCGTTCTCGATTTTTGGGGACATGGAATGGGCACGACGTTAACGCGCTCACGTCCGAGACCAGTCAACATGGGATGAACTAGATTATCGAGTCAAAGCCTACCTGCAGACGAGACAGACAGAGGCTGTTGTCCTTGAAGCAGCAGACCGTCAAACCGTCGTACGAAGTAATTACGGAATGACCGACATGGCCCTTGAGACCGGTCACTACGTGTACATGGGCCGGCGGCATGACATTCCACCACGTTCACTCCTTCCTTGAGATTGCGCAGGGCCGGATCCTTACCGGCAGATCATGCAGTCCGTCTGTATCCCGTATTAACTCCAGACCACCCACACAGATCGGCCCGCATCGGCAGGAAGAAGCAAGGAAACAGAGGGGAGAAAAGGACCGCAGGATAAGGTAGCCCTTTAGACATGATCCCTTAGGGTTTCTCCGTACCTGGTACTTGCCTTCGATTCGCGTTCCCATCCTTGGTGGCACGCTCTGCGTAAAGAACTCCCAGCCCTCTTCCTCTTCCTCTCCCCCTTCCCCGCCGCCCTGGGGGTTTAAGAAGGAAAAGGAACAAGCAGCGCATCCCGATCAGGAAACGGGCAGCACTGCACTTGGCCCTTTTTCGATTTCGTTTTTCCTTCCCTCGTTCTGTTCCTGCGTTAGCTTCCCGCTCCTGCAGACTCCGACCTATCCTAGACGAAGACAGGGTTATGCAACTTCTGCGTATCGCCCTGGAGCAGATGTGTTACTCCGTACACCTATGCAGGTTAGAAAAGTTAACTCGAAACTCTGCCCCACGTCTCCATTGCTCACTGGATTAATGCTGCCGATCTGTACTTTTTCAACTATTTTATATATTCAGGTATAATAGCAAATGTCGGCACGAGGCTGACGTCAGGATAATTGAAGCTATCACCAGATTCACGACATTTCTGACCTAAACACTCAGACTTAAGGAGCCGGATTGAGAACCAATATCCACAACTTTAGTGGATAGCAGGGAAGAACTAAATGCTAGGTTCTTTACACTATGGGAACTTTCTACTCAGTCTCTAGTTCGTACGATGCCTGCCCGCCTTACGTTAGGTTATTAAGAGGAAGACGCAGATTAAGTCAGACCACACCAATCCGGCCCCCACCTAGAAACGGCCCCCCAAACCACACCAAAAAAGGGGATTTCGTATCCCTGTTATTTCACTAACCGTAAAAGGTAACTATATAAAAATAAGATATTAGGTAGATCGTTATACGGGTATTATATATATAACTTTATTTTTTCTTTATACTAAAGCTATAAGCTGAAATTAGAGCTAGAAGTTTCTGTTAGTGATATCTAATAGTTTCTTAGTAAACCTTAACAGAGTAGAAAATTCTATAATAAATCAACAGGACTAAGATACTATAACTAGTATATATCAAAAAAAACTAAAATACGGTATAGTCTATATCTTAGGTTATAAGTCTATATAATATATTGGCTTTTAAGTTATTTAAGAAAGAATATTTCCCTTAGTAAACTTTACTATAGGGGAAACTTATTTCTAATATAGAAGATTAGATATAAAATATTTTATAACTATAGCTTAACTTTTAGATAGCCCGTATATTATAAGTATTTTTAGTATATACTATCCATAGGATCTTAGTCTTATTAATGTATTATAGAATTTTATACTCTGTTAAGGTTTACTAAGACAATATTAGATATCACTAACAGAAACTTCTAGCTCTAATTTCAGCTTACAGCTTTAGTATATAGAAAAAATAAAGTTATATATAGAATACCCGTATAACAATCCACCTAATATCTTAATTTTATATAGTTCCCTTTTATAGTTAGTGAAATAACAGGGGTATAAAATCCCCTTTTTTGGTGTGGTTTGGGGGGCCGTTTCTAGGTGGGGGCCGGATTGGTGTGGTCCGACTTATTGATGATGGTGTTGAGGAAAGGAACTGGTATTTTTGTGCGAGTCGAGGTACTTGGAAGTACTATTGGTTTCATTATAATTGGATGTATCTGTACTCCCGGGGGCCCCCTATTGTCCTTACCCACTCATTTTCGTTTGTATACGAGCTAACGTTTCTGACCTCTGCATAAGGTAGGTGTACTTGCGCTGGAGTATCCCAATTTTCGTATCATTCCCGACCTTTACGTACGTACAGTATTACCCACGATTTCCAAAAACCATGGACATGTCATGCCGAAAGGTTCCTCTGAAACCAAACGCTTCAGCATAAACTTCGGAAATGAGGTCGACCAGATACGATGGACGACGCTTACCTACTTGGCTAAGGGTGGTGTGCGGGGCGGGTCTAATTAACTTGGCAACTTTAGGGAGCATCGGCAGCATGGTCTCCGTTTCTCGTCCCTGTCATTTCGTTTCTTTGTCCTCTTTTCGTTCTTTTTCCCCGCCTCCCATTCCCCCCTTTCCCGAAGATGTACCAGACATCACACGCCCCGTCTTATCTTATCTTATCTATCGGACATCATTGAGGTGCCCGGGCAGCTGGCGTTTGTCCTCAACAACAGATGCTCCGTAATATTACCATATATATCGAATTTCAGCATTGGAATATTCCAGGAACATCACAATCTACCTAACCCAGGAAGTATTAACACGCGGTACCTGGCTCCAGCATATTGGAAATGAAAACGTTATTGCCGTCAAGCTTTGTATCTCATTTGTGGTACGAACACGGACTGCCTCACATGCTACGGAGAAAGGTGCCTGGCCCTCGTCTTTTTCGAGCTTCAGGGCTAGCCTACCTAACGAAGCAGTAGACAAAGGATCCAACGGTGCATCTATCCCCAAGCTCGAACCCATAGGGCGCAGCTACACCGGATAGAAACAGCCCAAACCAGGCCCAGGCTTTTGCGATGCAACGGACTGTTCCCGCGTGCATGACACTTACACGAGACCGCGATTAGCCCATCTTTCCGGGGTTACCAGCTCCGTCCTCTCACTATAAGACCAATTTGACCCGAATACGGGTACGTGGGTAGTCAAGTCTTCCAAGATTCGACTTGGCCCTCCCCCCCCTCTGAGACTCCCCGGATCGAGCATCCATTCGCCAGTGTCTCAGAATGACACATGTTGCGTTAGTCTATTTTTTATTTATTTTATTTTCCAAGTCTTGTTTCTCTTCTTTTCGGTTTCTTTTTCGTCTTTCGCTGCCTTCCATCCAGTCGAACCAGCCAATGTCACAGCTTCAGCGAAATATCATAGGCGTCCAACCCCAGCGCCACGGCCGTGAGCGTCCCCGTATAGGCCACAAGGATAGCCATGGTCGCCACAGGGCCAGCATCCAAAGTCGGCACCGTCAGGTTGACAAGACCGGTAAGCAGGTTAGCCAGCAGGAAGACGGCCAGCCCGTTGCGATTATACGCGTGGAGGACGCGGCTGGTGGCGGTATCGTACGCCTCGTTCTCGGCGCGGGCGTCGGTCGTATGGTGGAAGGCTGCGGGGAAGAAGAGGGTCTCGACCAGGCAGTAGGCGAGGACGTGGGCCGAGTTGAAGGCGGCTACCCAGAAGACGTACGGCAGGTTGGCGAGGCGGCGCGAGACGGAGAGGCCGTCGCCCCAGGTGTAGCTGGTGGTCAGGAAGTAGAGGGCGGACCAGATGGCGGACCAGACGGCCATGGTCATGAGGAGGGTGGTGCGCTGCGTGGCCGGGTCGGCGTCTCTCCGGGGGTTGATGTGGCGGGGCAGGATGTACATGCCCGTGTCCTGGCCGGCGAGGAAGATGGCGAGGTAGCCGAGGAAGCTGAAGACGCCCTCGCGGTTCGCCGAGAGGAGATCGGTGCGCGGCGCGGTCAGGACGTAGGCTTTGAGGGGGGTGCTCTCGAGCAGGACCTGGTAGGCCACGCCGAGGAGGACGGAGAGGGCGGCGTAGCTGGGGACGATGTTGAGGGCGGATTGGAAGGCGGCCGTGAACGGCGGCAGGAGGCCCAGCGTGAAGAAGAAGTTCCAGTGGACGCCGTACTCGGAGACGTGCTCGGCGTAGTCGAGGCCCTTGACGCTGAGGAGACGGACAAAGCCCAGGGCGAGGAGGGGCAGCGAATGACGCAGGGAGGCGCGTAGGCGCGTAGCGAGCGAGGCGGAACGGCCACTGGCTCGTTCCCTCAAGACGGGCCGGGCGGCAATGACACCGGCAGAGAACACGAAGGAACCGACGCCCAAATCCATAAGAGAGGTGCCCCAGGTTTCTACCTTGGCGAAGCGGCGAGGAAAGAGACGGAAGTCGACGGCGAGGATGGCGATGGTGGTGATGACGAGCATGCCGCCGCGGTAGTTTGTCAGGAACGGCTTGGGGGGAAGGGCGGCAAGCGGACCGGCGGGTGTGGCCGTGCGAGACTTCACATTGTTGGGAGGGACGACGAGCTTCTTCCGCGGGGCGCTGACATTACGCGGAAGGGCGTAGACGAAGAGGGCGGGAGCAAGGAGGAGAGCGTTGAGGAGGAGTGGGGTGCCGGAGTAGAGCGTGACGGAGAGAAGGATGGGGGCGACGTTGATGAGGTAGTCGACAAGCAGCGAGAAGGGGGTGTTGGCTTTGAAGAGGGACTGGCGGGACTGGAGGGCGGACCAGAGGAGGATAGCGACCTGTAGTGTCGCGGGGAGTTAGAACAAAGGAGTCGGTCAGCCTCGGAGGGGTTTTGGGTCCTCGTGGGACAAGGGACAAGGGACAAGGGGTCCAAGGCAAAAGCATACCGGCGCTACAGCGGTGACATAGTTTATTTCGGCAGGCGAGCCGCCGGAAAGGTTAGAAACAAAGTCTTCTTTGAGTTTCTTGTAGCCAGCGGCTGCTGTGGCGACGCCGACGGGGTCGGAGCCGGTCATGATGGTAGAAGTCAACAAAAAAAAGGCAAGAACGTTAGGCGGGGTGGTCGACGAGGGACTATCGGATGGATGGTCGTTATGGAAGGATATGAGACATGGTTCCAGAGAATGTAGGTATAAGAGAAAGTTGGTCGCCAGACCGGGTAAATCGAACGTGGCAGGATGAAGATCACGACGACAAGACGTCGTCAATGGTCAACGTGGACATTAATTTAACGGTGGTGATGGAGTGGTGAAGCTTCCCATGGAGCTATAGCTCAAAAGCCAATCAGAGGGCGTTGTCGACCCACGGACGGCTACTGTGGTACGAACTGCCGCGATTACAAATACAGTGTTTAGTATAGTATTTCCACCATCGTACATACTGTGTGTTCTCTGCTCTCTCTCTCAATGATGTCTGTTGGCGCCGGATGGCGCGCCCCGGCCCCTCTTCACCCGACTTGTCGGAAGCCGGCATTACGGAGTCCGTCGACGGCTTCAACTCGTCCATGTTCCCTTTCAATCATCACAACTCGACCTGTAAACACCACCACCATAATCGCATCTCCTCTCTCTTTTCGAAAGTCGTCAATCTTTTTCCGTCATTTTGCTGACACCCATGGCGTTACAAACCCCTTCACTATTATGTAACCATTCGACAAGGGCGAAACAAAGCGGTGCCATAGTCCGAGACCCTCCTCGTTGGATGACCATAACATGGCCGACCCTCTCTCACTTGTCTTTTTTCCTTCTCATCTTTTTTTTTTCCTTTGTTCTCCTTCACATCACCACAAGCATATTCCCAGTCGTCCTCGCAGAATTTTTTACCCACCTTTACACAAGTCAAAGAGTGGGTTGCTGGCAACCTGGTTCGCCCAAAGCCCACCAGGATTCCTTTGTTCTTCTGTTCCCACCCCCTCGCCGCATCTGCTCTTTGTTGTCTGAGATTTGACGACGCTTCTTAGTCCCGGAGTTGACAGGTAGACTCACCAAGACGGCGATACGCCTGACAAGGACAAGGACAAGGACAAGGACAAGGTCTCTGACCACCTCATCTCTTCCGATCCCCCCGAAAACGTCGGAGACCAGAAAAGAAGCGAAGCTCAAAGAACCCATTTCCAGATATACTCTACACTGCCCCCGCCCCGTCTCTCGTCTCTCCCTTCTACAAGTCGTGCTTCTTCTCCCTTCCCACGAAAAGAGGGGAAAAGAGTCGTCGTCTCTCCTCAAACTCTCCCTCTCCTCGGACCCGTCGAATCTTTTCGCCTCTCCCCCCCCCCCCCGTGTCGTTCATCCCGCTCCTCGTGTTACATTCCAACCCTCTATCAACTGAAACTCGTAGTCTCTTTCTGGCTATTCGTTGAGATAGTGGCTGGGACAACTCCATTGTCAACTTTCACCCCCCTTCTATCCAGGAACAGACGGTACAAACATACATACCCATATTCAATAATACATACCACGACATAATACATACTACGACATTGTATTCATAGCAAAAACAATGGCCACACCTCTGGACAACCGCCCTCGTCCCAGCCTCAAGCCCCTCTGGACTCCCTACTACGACCTCCGAGGCGGCTCACCACGCTCACCCCTCAGGTCGGCCCGAGCCTTCGCCTTCTCTCCCTCGCCCCGCTCACCCAAGACCCTCCCTACTCCCGTCTATCCCCCTGCCTCCCACGATGGCACCATGAGACAGCATGAACGGAGCATGGCCGACCGCCTAGACCACATGGTCCGTCAGGCGAGGAAAGGAGCCGACATCTCACCCCCGGGCTCCGCTTCCGTGTCACGGCCTATGTCCCCCATGTCGGGACCCCTCTCCGGGAGTGGTCGTCTGCAACAGGCCCGGCCGCTTCCGACGCCGGCCTCCCCCGTGGACACTTTCCCCCGTCGACAGACCCTCGTCGCCGAGACGAGGTCCATGCTCCTTGTCGGCGTTTCCGCCCTCGATGATCTCGACCGCAGACAATCCGTTCCCACCTTCAGGCCGCCGGGCCAGTCGAGGAAGGCACGGCAAACCATGCACCTGGAGCAGCTGAGAGCATGGGGCCACGTTTACCTAGGCGACGCAACCACCGCCGACGTCTTCGTAACGGCCGTGGCCGTGCGACGACCGTCGGAATCAGGCTCTTCGTCCTCGTCCTCGTCCTCCCTTTCTTCCACTTCTCCTTCGGAACCCACCGGTAATGACGAGACAAAGCTGAAGCGCAGCCTCAGCCTCCACCCCGGTCCCACGACCATACGCGCCCGCGTCAGGCCTCGCGACCTGGACAAGAAACCCTTTCTCATCCAGCGCGAGTTCGACCTCGAAGAGCTGCGCGCCACAGTTCCGGATCCTCTCCCTAGGCCGAACCACCATCCTGCCCCCAAGACCCCGCTGGGCCGCCGCTCGTCGGTTGCTGAGCTCCCCGGCCCGGCCGCCATGTCCCAGCAACACGCGCTGCGTCCCCTCCGTGCACGTCGGCGCTCGAGCAGCGCAAAGTACGGTCTGCTTCCTTCCGGCCATGGGCTCCGATCTGGGTCGAACCGGGATGCACGGGCGTCTGCTCGAGGTTCCAGCGCTGTACCTATCCGTGAGTTCCATCTCCTCCCTTTTGAAGGGTTTTCCTTTTCCTTTTTTTCTTGTTCTTTACTTTACATTCCTCTTTGCTCTTTCAAATACCAATGCACTGTCCCACCCGCTGTCCCACCCGCTGTCCTAAACATTGACACCCCTACATCCCTCTCCCCTGATGAGCCTTCTGGACTAACACTCTACAGACCTCGAGTATGCTCGGGCACATCTCCCCGTTCTTGCCGCCCTCATCGTCTCAGGCCACATTCGAGAGGGCGATGTAATCGATCTCCCCATGTCCCATCCGGAGGCATGGTCCCAAACTGTAGCCTACGTGTACACGGGCCAGGGGGAACTGACGGATGCGATAAAGGAGAATATCCTTTACTTGGCCGGTAAGGCCTGACTTATGATCTGACGACTTGACGAGTTTAGCTCTTTTCTTTCTTTTTTCTTTCTATTTCCCTTCTCTTTTCTCTCTTCATGTCTTGCATTTCTTTGCTCCGAACACGTTCGATTATTGGCATGCGGTATTTGGCACCACCCTTGCACCCCCGTCGTAGGTTGGACTGGAAAAGAATGCAGAACCGGCCTAAAACCCGGGTTGATAGTTGTGAAGTGGGCAAGGTACATATGTAGCGACAATGTAAGTTGCAAGCAGGTTTATGGTCCATAGCTTCCATGCATGGCTGTTTTCAGAAGAGTTGCTCTGCCAAGTCGTGATCGACCAAGTTCTCGATGCGTTCCCCATCTTACCCACTCTGGATGCGATCCATCGGAGTGTTTTCCGTTCTTCTCTCCCCCATTCCTTTCTTCTTTTTTCCCCCTTACGGTGTTGATTCCGCACCAATAGTGTTGGTCTCCGCGAGTCGCCAACTATTTCCAAGGAAAAGCAGATGGAGTCCCGGTTAAAACAAACAACTGGCCGTTTCCATCACAGTTCCGGGGATTGAGGTGCGTTCAACCTGCCTTTGAGAGGTACACATGCAGACAGAACCTGGAGCCAAATGCTCTGTTTCGGGCATGTCTTCTGTGGGTTGAAAGAACCGATATCAGCTCGGAATCCTGGCTGGCCGGCCGTCGAATGGCACACCATCGATCGATCGCCCTTGGGTGATGTTTTTCTTGCTTGGCTCACCGTTTACTTGTTCTTCTTCTTTGATATGGCACTCATAGTCTCGTGGCCCCGAGTACGGGAGTGGAGTGCGTTCGACGAGGAGACACCGGAGACAGCTCCGGTCCTTCTTGTGGGCCCGGCCCTCAAGAACCTAGGTTGTTCAAGTTCCGGGTCTGATTCCATCTCCAGCAAACGACAACGTCCCACATCCGGGACCTTCCGCTGTAGCGCCGGGACCGGGGCGTCCGTATGATGAAGTCCCCTTCCGACTGGCTGAGTCATCACTCTCTCCGACCGATCGGAGGAGGCATCGTCCGAACAAGGTCCGGGTCGTCCGGGTTGGTACTTCAACTCGGTTTTAATACCTAAGGTAGAGGGAGTGAGTCCAAGAAGGGGAAAACAAAAAACCCGGTTATAGTTCGTGTTCTTTCATCGGCCCTCTGCTTGGGTCTTATCACACAACTTCAGCCTTCCCTCCGATTCTGCACCTGTGTCCATCCACTGAATAAAAATCATCTATCCACCCCTTCGCCATATCACCTCGTACCATCTCATACGATGCGACCAATGCACGCCCAAGATATTCGAGCCAGTCAGTCAACAATGCACAATACCTCGCCCTCCTTCTGGCTGTTTTTTCAGTCAACCACCCACGGAGTAATAGACTGGTTTCGCCTAATCATCACACGAGGGAGAAACGACTTGGCGACCAAGCCCCAAATGCCGGATGTGAGCAGAAAAACCGGGCAGCAGTATAAAAGTTGGAGTAGGCAAACCAGACGCCTTGTCCCGTTTTGGGGTCCGCGGAAGGCCAGCTGAACTTGACTTGACTGGACCTGCCTAGCTTGGCTTGGTGTCTTTGTTCGCCCGCCCGCCCCAGTCTGTCCTGGCTTCTCTCTCTCTCTCTCGCTTTCTCCATGTCCTTCAGCACACGGAGGACACAGCCCTCACCAACCCGGATTCCGCAAAAGACTCGCAATTACTGGAGATCAAGAGTGCCCCGGTGCATATAGCTTCGCCGCGTATTCCTTGTATGATGTGCATATGTGTGCGTACATACATATGTATAATGCCGTGAGCTCCTGGCTTGGTGGGGTTCTCTACGTACATACGCACGTACGATGTAGTGGTGGTTCGTTTGTCGCAGCCAAGGTGCTTCGTCGAGTGGGCGGACGACAGTGCAGCACTACCTATTAAGTATCCTTTTAGTGCGTAAGTCGCAGGCTGAGCCTTAGCTCTATGTTACGTGGGCATGTACGTCGTAAGTCCAAGTATTGCAAGACAAGGCCTGACAGGGAAACCCGTACTTTGTAGTCAAAAGAGGAGGGGGGGACGGGCTCTGGGAAGGGGGAGAATATGCAAGCCATAGCATAGCGTTGCAGCGCATCACAAGCGTGCCATCTCTTTACGCTACTGCATCACGTGTGCTCGGACGGGAGGCTTGGCTTTGTGCAACCATCTTCGGTCTAGACGATACGAAGTATGCATGTAATAAGACATGATGGTAGGCTACTTGGTATGGGAGGATATGGCGGAGTACGTTGTACGGGCCGCCCGGGGAGGGGATAACAGGCCTAATAACCACCGCCCCCCTTCAGCCGAACTATCTCGTAAAGGGTGCCATGTGAGATTAAGCTGCTGCCCGCGACGTATATTTGACGACCCACTCTTAGCAAAAGGAGAGGGGTATTCATAGAAGAGTTCGATGATGGGGAAGGGAGCGGGGAAAGAACCACAGGACTATGTATTCAATGGTTCTGGGAGCTGAGGAACCGTTGGGACAGATGGTACCAGTGGCATTCTGTGCTTCTTTGGAGTGGTAAAGCCTCAGAGAGAGATAGAGAGAGAGAGAGATGGGAATAGCTGGTTGAGATTGATGGGAGGCATCCTAGGCAAGATATACGGGTAGATGTGCTCGTGGGATGCTAGGTCTCTCCATCACGTCTTCAGCGGACAATACCCTCTGGAGAAAGTGAACAAGCACAGGAAAGAAACCGGAGACGTTCAGTTTGTTGGACGACTTGTTGCAATACACAATCAAGTACGGTTCTCGTTCCCCAGGGGACTTGATGAAGCAAAAAATGGCGTCAACTTTAGACACTTAGTTGAACACCCTCGAGCCACAATAGTCTGCCGTGGTTGTTCGATGCAGCAAGATTGACAAGGTCGTCCCATTGGCGTACCGCGGCATTGGGAACTGCGTGTACCTCCGCACATCATGCACGCATGTACGTGACTGGCTGCAGACGAATGATGTCCACGATTTGGGGAGTTGGGGGGAGGTTGGCCTGAAGTCTAGACCTGCCCAAGGCCGTTGTGGTCTGGTGCGGAACTGGGGGATCTTCACACTCGGCTGCCATCTCCGGGGGGGTCTTCCCAATCCAGAGCCCAATCAAGGAAAAATCTGGCACTGCAAGCGAAAAAGGGGTGGGCAAGGGGAGGAGAAGTTGGCTGGATTATCTCATGACGTGATGGCATCGAGGCGTTCAATCGGCAGTGCATTGCGCGTGTGAGATGATGGCAGTGAGGCCCTTGAGTTCGGTATCGGATTAGCGAAATCCCAGAGATGGCCCAGCTGAAAGAAGGGGGCCAGGGGAAGGGGAAGGGGAAGGGAGGGGTTCATTCTTTTTGGTTTTCGTTAGGAGAGCCAACGGTATATCGCACGGAGTTCAGGCCGACTCGCGTTGGTGTTTGTCCGGAGAGGTCCCGTCTTCCTCCTTTCCGGGATGAGAACCAGAACCTATGTCTGTCGCCTTCATGGCGCAGTATCCATAGTAAAAGCGCTCTTGGCTTCTTTATCCCCCGCAATCTCTCTTCTCTTTCCCGGTCTTTCTCCTCCCGATCCATTTCTGTCAGAAATAACTTAACTATGAGGCAGAGGGGGTCGCATGCAGATGCTAGCTTCATGCACGGCGCTTGTTTCGGAGATCCAAAGGATTCGGCCGGTTCATAGAGGCTGCTTCATACACCCACACCTCATACGTATATGTGGTACGGGCCGCGCAGGGATTTGAATGATTATTTCCCGGTCACCAAGCGAACTCGCTCCCTTGACTGATCAGCCCAGGAGATGGTCCCAAAGTGACGGAAATGCAAGATCCGCTGCACAAGGTTGATATTCGTCAGAGTGAGAGTGAGAGAGAGAGAGAGAGAGAGGAGTCTGGAAGTTGTTACCATCGGGTCTTACTCTTGATGTGCGCCCGCCTCCGGGGACTTTGCGAAGAGGGGTCTAGTTCTTGGCGACGTGGTGACAGCACTGTGATTACTTGACCATGTCCGCGCATGGATGTTGTGTAGCCTCGACGCTGTAGGGAGTAGTTAGCAAGCTCTCCGTCAAGAAAATCGACATGGCGAATTCCGAGCCTAGCCAGTCTTCGAGTCAGCCCCTGGAGAGAAAAGGGGTTCAGAGGGCCCTGGATGTGAAAGGCAGCGGACGAATCGACTCGCCGAAGGAAGGTGCCCGGTCAACTCCGGCTCCGTCTCCATTTCCTCCCGCTCAAACCGAAATGCCGCAACACCTCGACCGTGGTAAAATCTCGAGAACCTCTCGCGTGTGGTCCCTTGCAGGTCAAAGACCTCATGCTGCATGTAGAAAAGGCGTCCACAGACACCTCTCAGAGGGCACACGCGCGCATGGCATATATGACATACATAGGCATGATGACATGGCATGTCTTGCATGCCTTAGAAGGCCCATGTACGCTGCAAAACCCCACGTTCCGGCTGCAGTGGAAGTCAGTTCCGGTGCAGCAGCCCCATCGTTGGGGCCCATTCCTTTGGTCCTGTGTGCTTATGCGTTCGTCGTCTTTTTGGCTTGTCCTGCAACTCCTGTTCGTTGAGCTGGCACCCGTCCATTGGCGGCGGAGGGGGTGCAGCGTGCAATGCATAACGATAACGGCATAAAAATTACAGAAGTGGGATGACAGATCAGGGCGTTGCTCGGGCATTCAAGTCTCATCAACCAAGAGACGACTCAGACGAGACGGGGATAATGACTGTGGGGGGAAGAGCAGAAAGAGAAAGAGGACGTTGGCTCGAGCGGCGAAGCTAGGCTGCTAGATGGGAGCTTGGGACATGTTGGGACGCGGGAGCAAGAGCAAGAGGAAGACGGAGATACAAACGGAGTGACCTAGGTACTGCCCGGGTAGGTACTCAGTAAGGTACCTTACGTACTTCGTACACCATTGTTGGGTTGTCTTGTCGTGAAGGTGAGTCTAATATGTGGGCCAAAGAGGTCGTAAATGCCGAGGTATCTGATATATAAGGTACCTAAGGTATGGAGAAGGAGATGGATCATGGCGGAAGGGAAGGCAAGAAAATGGAGAAAGGGGGTGTGGTTGCAAAACCCATGGTACCGACGTGGTCTGAGAGATTAGGTACCTTAGGTGCGTTACTTCGTACTTCGCAAGTCGTGGCTGTGAGCCGATAATACCAGCTAAGGTAAGGTAGGTAACATGGCGTAGCCCGTTGCAGGTTGGATGGAACAACTTGATACAGGTACACCTTAGGCCAAAGATCGCGTCGCCAAAGCTGCGAAGTCGGATGCCGACGGTGCAAAAAAAAAAAAAATTTGTTGTTATACACGTGTAGTGCAGATGCTGTCTGTTTGACACCCCCCAACCGACATTCATCCAGGACTCGCCCGATCAGTTCTCATATAACGGTTCAACAGAAGAAGCTCGTACACATTAGGTAACTTTACACAGAGAGTGCAGAAACGGCAGAGATCGCAGAGGCAGCAACTCGGATGGGCCTCTGGGTGATTGATCCGTCGCTTGCGTAAGAAACGTACATCGTAGTGTCTCCGACGATGGAGTCTCCTGCAGCTCGATGACGAAGTGCGACCATGGAACGAACCCTGGACCCTGAAACCACGAATAAGCTAAAAAGAACGGCACTAAAAAAAGGCGCCCCGTACGATCTACGTTATAACCACCTTACCTAAGGTAGTGGTCAGCAACGTAGATTCTCAAGGCCCGAGTGAACAAAAGAACAAGTTAAGAAGCCGAAAAGCCGATAGCCCGAACTCGTAACGGCCCCGCCTTACTAATTACCTACTTCGGACTCGAGTGATGCAATTCTCCAAGGGGACCTCGATATGAACCGGCCGAATTGTCCGAAGAACGAGATCCTGCAGCGGCTCGTTTCATCTTGGCATGGATTTCATCGTCCCGGCATACATCGATCCACTGAAACGAGCATAACACTTGTGTGTTTTGTGCGGTTTTCCATATTTTGCGTGTCTCGCCCCGAGGTGAGTACGAAGTAATTAATATGCAGGTCCAGAGAAGAGGAAAATGAGGAAAGTAGGGTTGAGCAGGGGGTGGACGCAACGAACGATGCTTCACCTGTGAACGATGTAACTCCTGAACTCCGTACGATCTTACGGTTCTTGTTCCTTGACCCACTTCGGACTAGTTCGTACGAAGTACTTCGTACACATAGGACCACTCTGGCACAGACAGTGGATGCAGATCCTAAGAGTTGTGGAGGGGTGGGGCAGAACGGGCTTGAACCAACACATTTACTCTCCGATCCCCGATTTCCCCCGACCACTGTTCTGGACGTGAGCAAAATCGACAGATGAAAGTGGTCCGCGGTTTTCACGTTTCCCACTCGTTTTTCACTCAACAACGGACACATCATCTGTGTCTTTCAGGTCTAGTGGAGAACTTCGCCATGGAAAGGTCGCGGGACGCTATTAGACGAATGTTACGTTAACCTCAGGTACATACGAATACCTTCTTTTCCTTTTCGTTAATTCTCTAGCTTCGCGAGAAACTAAACTCTCCGCGAGCTCCAGAAACAAGAAGACTTGGACCACTGACGTCGCTCTCCTTTTGTGTGTAAATGGCTGGTTATCCGAAAAGCGGGTATCTTAAACTTGATATTACAACTTACTAGCTAGTAGGTAATAATGTATGCACGCCTTTAACGCCTTAGGAGAAGTCTCGAACGTAGAGACAACTATTACAAACTCCGTAGTTATTAGAGGCGAGCTCGTAATTATATACGAATACAAGGGTTTTATGGTACACGTTTAGTATCTGCGTGCTCTCTTCTATTATACCCCACACCCCCACCCTTCTTTTCTTATAACACCCTGGCCATAGCTCCCGAAAGGGGTTTAGTGGGGAAGGAGAATCGGTTTTTATGGGTTAGGTGGCTGGGTCGAGCCGGTTGCAATGTCCGGTCTTTCTTCTTGACTTGCAGCGTGCATGGATGTGTTAGATATGGGGCGGGCGTACGCCTACCTATATGCCCTTCAGCCCATCGTCGTACAGAGATATATATACGAAACATTCCCTATGTATGAATGTATGAAGTATTCCCGTAAACGCGTCTTTCGACAAATTTACCTTACTTGTATAAGGGAATTAGGGATACAGGTATGCCTTTCAGACATCCATACTTATTGTACGTTAACATTATCGCTTTCTTGTTTTGAACAGGCAGGTCGATCCGAAGTGGTTCCTACCTACCTAGGTACCTTACTACATATGTCGTAGTATATGCAGCATGCTACTCCATATTGATATGCACCTGGGACTTTGTCAGCCTGAAGTCAGAACCTGGAGGTCACGATAACGCTTATGGCAAATTGATCGTAGCGGAATAATAAGGTGCTCACGTTATGATTGAACACCATGCTTATTCCACTCGTTGAATTCTCCCAAATCCCAGCAGAATTCCTCCGCTCACTCCGTAGCATGGGAAGAAATGGTATCCGTCGGTAAGGTAGGTAAGGTAGTTATCACACACCACACTCTGTGCCTGTCTTCTCCCCACCTTATTACGTAGGTATTTCCCCGTTTTTAAGTACGGAGTACCATTACCCCTCCTCTCCTCCATCGCCTCTCCATCTCGAGAGCCTCTTGGCCTCCTTTCCCCCAATCGCCCACCACGCTAAGAATATCTAGCCATCAGCCCTGGTCCCTGCCCTATTCACACAACTGCCACCCTTGGCCGAGCTTTGCGGGGTTATCGTGAACCCAGACCAGCACCAGTTTGGTGTGACACGACATGATTAGCATCGTACGTACGGAGTGTATGTACATATACGTGAATAAGGTAGCCTTGGTAGATAGGACCAGGGATCGACGACTGTACTTCTAACCTCCATCCTCGCAGGGAAACCCGGAACCCGAGCATGGGTCAGGAGGGCTGGACTGATTCCATTTAGATCTCCGGGTCTCTGCAAGGACGTGAATTATGCTTTAGATCTGCTCCTCGAACAGGGTAATGCTCCGAGACAGCACCATCCCTTTTGTGTAACCGGGGAATAGATCTTGATCTCTCCCCTTTCGGCTACCACCAAGACTCCAAGCTGCCACCTGTGACGTACAGTAGATACCTTCGTCCGTCGAGTCCTGCTTCAAGCTTGACGCGTGTTTGGGTAAGTTGTCTGGTACACCAGCAATGGATGAGGCAGGGAATAAACTAACCGGCCTTCTTACTGCTTTTCTTGTCATATCACAGCCTGTCAAATCCGGCCCTTGTCACAAATGCCCAGCCAACACGGACCGGAACAAGAATCATCTCCCAGCCGCTCGGGCATCAGCTAGTAGTCCTCATGCCACGATGGAACCAATGGAAAGAAGCAAACAACTTTTCTTTTTGGCTACAAAATGCCTTCCTTATCCCAAGCCAAAAGTTAAGAGAACAAGTATATGCCCGCTCCACTGGCCAACAAAAGAATGACGACCAGTCCAATGTGTGACATGCCATGCTATGCCATGATTCTTTTTTCCCCTGAATCCACCCGAGAACCGTCACTTGTATCCAGAGTACTGTTTGCTCCTCTGGGCCTACAGCAACCCGGCCGTCCTTTTGATTCATGTCCAAGTCATTACTCGTAAACACTCATTATCTCGTCGAATGCTCGACGATACTACTCTACCATGCAGAGAAGGAAAGAGAGAGAAGGGGGAAGAAAGCCGAAGAAGCGAGGAGACGCTTTAGCTTTTCACATCCATGCCGAGATGAGCTCCGGAAAAGATGGGATGCAGCCTCTGGACTTTCTCCCCCACCATGACCTTCTCGGTCATATGGCGCTCGTGGCGGTATCGGATCAAATCATATCCGGTAGGAGGTGTAGTCAGACTCGCAGATCGCTTCGGACGAGGAGTCAGGCGAACATCGTCGTTCGCATCACCATCTGCTCGGCTGCCCCAGGACGTCTAGTTTGCTTCCGTTAGTTTGTAAT